ATCCCTGCAGTGGCTCTGCAGGATGGTCCTGGGGCCAGGGAGCAGCTTTCATCTGCTCCTCACAGGATGCTGAGCTGAGGTGCAGCTGGTGAGGGTCTGGCCTCTCTGCAGATGTGCAGGATGGTGTGTGGGCTCTGTATGGCTGAGCACGTTTCCCATCTGCATTTCTTGACAGTAAACAGAAGTGACTTCCTGAGCCAATTAGAGTGGGATGCAGTAATTCAGTGTGACTGAGTGCCACATTGCACAGATCTCCTGTTACTGACAGGGAGTGGGATAAGGAAGGGACATGAGGAGTTCTTGGACTAACTCAGGGAAGGCTGTTTTGGCAGTACCCATACAGTGACCCTCTCGGGGGTCTGTGGTCGAGATGTCCCTGAGATTGTAAAAAGTCTTTTTCTCCCAACCCGCTGGGCCAAAGACGAAGTCAGAATGCATAGGATCAGCTTTTCAAGGTTGTTTATTTTCTCTTCTCTATAACATGCTTTCTCAAGGAGCTGTGGTCTGTCTAGCAGGTCAGTCTGCAGCAGACTCCCACCCTCTTGGGGAGGTGTTACCATTTTATACTAAAAACTATGTGTACTATGTTTACAATAACGTGCCAGTATCTATCATTTATGTTAGACAGTGTGTCTTTACCTTAAACCAATAGAAAAGTGCCACCATCACAGCAAGACATGGAGGGCAAGAAGAAAGAGAAGAAGGTCAGGACACACCCAAATCCCTCCATCTTGTCCCCTTGAACCCCTTATTTTAAAACCCCAAAATTCTACTTTTTCACCCTGTGTTAATTCAACTACCATACTCAAACCCTTGTGGCTTGTAATTCCTCATACAATGTTGGAAGATTTTTCAGTGGGCTAAAATTGAAGCCACAAGTGTTTTTGACTTCGTGCCAAGGTCTCCAAGCCCCCTGCCAGGGTCTCGAGACAGCAGGGCAGCCAGAGGGATGTCCTGGGTTCCCACAGTCCCTCCTCCCATTTCATCAGCCAAGGCACAAGAAAGGACAAACACCTGCCAGTCCTTGTCCTTCATGTGCTCAGTAGTTTGCAGGAGGTGCAGGTTCAGTTTCTTATTTTCTCTCTTGACAAATACTCTTGACAAAATGTCGCATCTCAAAGGGCTGCCTGTCAAGCAGGAGGAAAACACAGGGATTGTTGCCTGCCTTTGTTCCTCCTTTCCCTCTATTCCTTGGGATTAGCAAAGAGTTTACTGCTCGTGCTCCCAGCACAGTCTGGACATTTCAATTGTGGAGCAGTGATGAGAGAAGAGATGGAGAGGCCAGGGCTCCTCTCTGACAAGTGCTTTTATCATTAGGAATGTTGTCAGGCTCATCCTTCTGGCTCTTCTACACCAGAATCATAGAGTTGCTTGGGTTGGAAGGGATCTTAAAGATCACCCATCTGATTTCCTTTAAGAGGTGTTTCTTCTGCATGAGGAGCTGAGTTTGCAAATGTAACACCAAGCTCCTTGAAAGCCATGAAGAGAGAAATCCAAATCAAGAGACATACCCAAAATTTACATGTTGGTTCCTTGAAAATACCACGGGCTGTCAAAAGAATCCTGAGGGCCTGAGTCATCCCTGTCTGCTGATGCCAGGGGTAAAAGAGGAGAAGGGTGCTGGGCTGAAAATCAGCAAGGGAGAAGCACAAGAGCAGGAGCCAGTGATGAAAAGTGAAAAGAGGGCTAGCAAGGAAGTTCTCAACATCTCCCTGAGAGTAGTTCAGAGAGGAGGAATTCCACTGGCTCCAGGGAAGGCTGCTGTGTGTCCATGTCAGTGGGAGCCTTTGGCTGTCTGAGCAGCACCCAGAGCAGCCAGGAAGGCTGACCAGGATGTAACCTGTGTGAGTTGGTGTCTGGAGGTCAGGAGGAACACAGCCTTCCTTGTGCTGCACGTCATGTTTTGGGCTCTCTACAAAGCACCTCTTCAGCAGACGCAAGCACTCAGAAGTCGATGCAAACTTTCCAGATTCTCTTCTGCTTGTGGTTATCTCCCCGCTGTGGCGTGATGGGGAAGGAGCAGGGAGGCTGCAGGGAGCTGTGATTGATGGCTGTTTGCTGCGAGTGTTCCTCTGCTGTGAAACATCTCTGTGCCCCAGTTATTTTTGATTTCTCCTTGCAGATAGCTCAGCTGAACACACAGTTTGGGACTCCTAATAGAGTGCAGCCACTGCCTGGGAGCAGCTGATAAAGTACTCATGCTGGGTTAAGATTTTCCAGAAAAGAGATAACTTTAGCAGATGGCTTGGGCTGAGTCCTTTGGCTTCAGTTGTTTTATTGATAGATGAAAACAGTACACACAACCAAGCTATGGAAATCTATAAAAAGTGTCCTTCCTTACCCCACATTTTAACAGTTCCTGTGGTGATAGTTTCTCTCCTTCTCTCTTGTGTGACTACAATAGACATCAGTCATGCTCTTCAGCCTTCCTTGGAGCCTTTGTGTATTGAGGAGCTCTTTTATCTCCATCATCCTCTTAGCACACCCTGAAAAGATCAAGACAGCCCTTCCAGACACAGGTTTTCAATCTTTTTTTTTCCTCCCACACAGCTCTTTTCCAGTGGATTCATGCAGCCACGTAATGGTTTCCAAAGAATCCATTCTAATTTCCAATATTTAACATCAGATTTTCTGGTCTTGGAAACACGAGGCCATTGCCAACCCGAAGTTTAGGGATTGATTGCACAAGCAGACTAAGGAGCCATTCTGCAGGACAATAACTTTTGTGAGCCAAGCAGTGGTGAGCAGCTGGCAGGTGAAGAGGAATAACAGGATGATCCTTCCACTTCACTGCCATAAGCAGAAGAGATCTGGAGAGGAGGAGAATTCCATACTTAAGGACACTCTGCATATGAGGTACCCAGCTTGCACTTCCTTACTGGTCAAAAGTCCACTGTAGCCATGGATTAAAGATATAACTTATCTTACCCTGAAATTTTTTGTTTCACTAGGACAGAAGAGCTGTGTTTTAAAAGCTGCTTTATTTCCCACTGGCTATAAAAGAAACCTAAATAAACTTTAGACTTCTTGATTGAACTGAATCTGGCCAAACATAATAAGATGCTTTACATTAAAGATGAAGTTCCACCTTAGGCACAACCACTGTAATTTGATTAATGTCCTGGTTAAAAGGCAAGATCACCAGGAAGGCCCAGCTGTGGGGGAATTTCAGCCCTTTTTTTATTTTAAACTGGTTTCAGTACTGAAACTCATAAACTTTCTCTTGAAGGTGAATTGGCCAGATAACATAATTCCACAGCAGCCCATCCCAACCCAACCTTTTCCTCCCCTCCCCTCAGCTGATCAACTGTTGGCCTTTATGAAGTGATAATCAAAGACCACACAGAGATAACAGCTCATAATTGTCAGGGAAAAGCTTTCCCAGCTCCTGGGAGCTCCTCATGGTGTGTTCTTGTATAGGAACCAAACCAGCAAAGTGCTGTGGAAGGTGTTTGACCACCTCAGCAGCTGGTGAGAGCTTGAAGCAAATGTTAAGTGTTGCTTTTGGAAAGTCACTGATTTTTGAACTGAAATTTTGGATGGTTTGTTGCAGGTTTTTTTTTTTCCCCAGCAGCTGATTATCATGGCTGCTGTGGGAAAACAAGGAAAGTTTTCAAACCTCTAATGAGCATCTGATGAATTTTGGATAATCCCAAAGCAGCCATGCAAAAAATGTGCAGGTGGATACTGAGTTGGGTCTTTCTACAGTGTTGACTTTGAATGAACTGAGCATTTTAATGGTGAAATGGATGTTTAAAGGCAAGTTTTTCCTATTCAACTAAACTTTGGAGGTATTTTGTACTCATGCACTGTTTTTTAACAAAGCTCCAGGCCAGGTTGCTCCAAGCCCCATCTAACAGGGCCTTGAACACTTCCAGGGATGGGGCATCCACAATTCAGAGCAACCTGTGCCAGTGTTTTGTAGAAGTATGAAGTGACCCATGAAAGACAGAAAGAGGCTGTGGTGGGTGCTGCTGGGAGCTCGCCTGATTTCAGCACAGTTTGAGGGCACTGACTGCTCCAAAAGAGCATTTTAGGGTTGTCTCTGTTACTTGTATTTGTTTAATAAAGGTCTCTTCATGCATTGCTACTTCTGGATTCCCTTGTGTGTGCATTTTTCAAACTTGGAGCAACTTCAGGGTTCATTTCCACCAGCTGAAGAGCAGAGATGGAAGTGGGGAAGGATGATCTTGAAAACAAGGTTTTGATTTCTTACAGCAAGGAGGATAAATTCTACCCTTTACAGGATTTAGGATGGAGTATGGGTCACACCAGACTGCTCAGAAGCTTTGGTCTTTTCCTCCTTAATTTGCACTACTGTGACTGACAGGAACAGATGGGATCTTAAATTTTACCTTCTTAGTATTTTTGCAACCTAAAGAAGGAGAGTTTTGTTCCTTACCCTCCTCTTATTGAAGTCCCCTCTTACTTTTCCCAGAGAGACTGTGGACTTCTCAGCCCTGGAATTGTTCTGGGCCAGCTGGATGGGGCTTGGAGCAACCTGATCTAGTGGAAGGTGTCCCTGTCCATTTCAGGGCTTTGGAACTGGATGATCTGTAAGGTCCCTCCCAACCCAAACCATTCAGTGCTTTTAGGATTTTCCTGTGGGGTGATGTTCACAGGGAGGCAGAGCTCCCCATGCTCAGGGGGAATGAGTAAAGGGGTGCTCAAGTCAGGGATGCTCCAAAGACTTGGAACCAAACTCCTGGCTGTGATTTGTGTCTCATGAATGGGACATCACAGTACCTATGGCATATTCTGTTTCTTTATTAAAGAAAGAACATGGAAAAAGAGGTTTTCTTTTTAAGATTTCTTGCTCTTTCTGGTCCTTTAGAGTTGAGTTTTCTTCAGTACCAAAGCTTGGGGAAGGGGGGAAAGGGAAGGGAATCCTCCAGAGGCTTCAGGAAAAGGAGAAAGTGTAATTTTTTAATATCCCTCACCAAGCAGAGATAAGGCTGACTGAACCCCTGCTGACAGCAGGCTCTGCTTTCTTTCCATAGTCTCCATTGAAGATATCCGGGATGTGAGGTCAGGCCATAAAACAGAAGGTATGGAAAAATACGCCAAGGATGTCCCAGAGTATCGCTGCTTTTCCATCATCTTCAAAGACCAGCGGAAAAACCTGGACCTTATTGCGAGTTCAGAGGATGATGCCAACCACTGGATTGCTGGCCTTGGGAAAATCATAGCCCACAGCAACTCCATGAACCAGAAACAGAAACTCCAACAGTATCCTTTGCCTTATAAAGTGATTAATCTCGGACAAAGATGCACTTGTCTTTCCATGTGGGTGGGGACAGTAGACTAACCTCCTTTTTTCCCTATTGGCCCTGGGCACTGGGTTTTCTCTTGCATTGATTTTGCACCCAGGCAAGCTCCCTGGTTTCCAATGCTTTTCCCCCCTGTTTTACAATGATACCAAGCAAGAGTGGAGTCAGGCTTAATGTGGCTCCTTAAGTGAAGAATTCCCTCTTTCATGGAGCTCCAGATAAAACAGTCATTTATTTTGTTGTGTTCTTCAGGGGTCTGTTTCACTTGCATTGCAGTAAACTCCAGGACAGGCACTTCTTGGCAAGGCATGAAAAGCCCGCACTGTTTACCGTGTTTCTCGGTAATACAAGGAGAGGGAACTGATTCTCCTCTTCTCACTGCCAAATTTACTCCAGGGTAGCTCCACTGACTTGAGTGAAATTACTCCTTATTAGCCTCAGCATGGGAGGAAGTTTTGCCCTGAAAAAAATCTGCAGTTGCTCTAGCGACAATGCAGAGATCAGAAAGTAAAAGGCACAGAGCAGGAAAGGAGAGCGAATTCGTTATGAAATGGAGAGGGGTTGGTTATTGGGTGAAATCCTGGCTCTGCTGAATTCACAGGGAATTTTCCCTGAGGCTGCATTTCATCAATAAATTGCTTTGCAAACAGAGGTCTCATGTACAAAAAGAGAGGATATATGTGGGTGCAGTTTTGGATGGATTTGAACTATGACCATGACATCTGAAGCTGTTTGCTGATTCCACTTTGATTTGACAGAGCCACAGTAATTGTAAAATATTAGGGTCCTTTAAGCTTCCCAAAGGTAGATATTCAGCTGTCAGAGAGGCAAACAGATAGTACTCTTGGAGAGAGAAGGCTGGGTGGGCTTCATGACTTGTTTGACACCAAACATTGGAGAGGAGGGGAGGTGCAAAATCCTCAGCTGGGAAAAATCACAAAGCTGGAGCTCACCAGGAAGGCACCAGGAGGTCTTGCCCTCAGTTAAGTCTTCATTCCATGTGGGTTCTCTGCTGGGTAATAATGTACTGATGGAGAAGGAGATGGTGCATAAGTGCTGAGCTTTCATCAGGCTTTATTCTTCTGTGGATTCTCTGAAGTCTGAGAAGCATTTTCACAGGCACAGTGCTGTTCACTTAAAGGAATCAGACTCCATTAGTTCTGATGTGCCTGGGATGTCCTGTTTGTCTCTTGCATTATGAGTGTCTTTTTTGGATGGCTTTTCAAGCCCTTCAGGGCTGTAAGGTCACCCCACAGTGTGTAGGGGAAAATCTGGGCTACAGAAAGTTGTCCCTGGAGCATATCAAGTTAAATATATTGCTGAAAAACTTGCCTGTAAGAAGAGACAAGAGTTTTAAGGGGGGAAAAATAACAATGACATTTGCAAAGGAAGAAGGCTGTAAATTTCCAGCATGGAAAAGTGCCTTTCTGTCTTTGGAAAGCAGAATTGAAGCTAAATAGGGTGGGTAGGCAAACCATATTTCTGGAAGAGTAATTACTGTGCAGTGCTGGCTTCCAATCTGGGCTTGTCTCAGGCCATTTAACGTAACCTGGAATTACAGAACAGCATGATTTCTCATTTGAAATTTGATGATGTTTAATTAAAGCCTGGGATTTTAAATTTAGTCTGCTTTCCCTGGGTTTGCTTGGCAGCGTGGGCTTGCTCAGATCTCCCTTAAACCTCAGGAGTGTTCTCAGCATCTGTGAGCACAGGAGGGGAAGAGTCAGGACATGAGATGTGCTGTGTCCCCTGCCTGTCCCCCATGACTGGAGAATTGCTTTGCAGGGTATCTTTTTCAGCCTCCCAAAGCCTTGCAAAACAAGTAAGGAATGTGCAAGTTTTTGAAATCAAGGACTGAAAGCACAAACTCTGATACTTTCAGATGGGGCTCGGTCAGTTTGGAATTCAGTGGAGTTGCCTGTAGTAGAAAGGGACTGGAATCAGTATCTTATGTATTCCTCCAGTCCTATATTCCTACACAGATAAAACTCCCACATGATTCATGATGTTCTTATACACAAAGCTCTGTTTTAATAAGCCTCAGATTCAACCTTGCAGCATGCTGGCATAGGTTGTTTAGCAAATATTGTGGGTATGTGTGCAGGGAAGACTTTAGACCAGAAAATACAGAGGGACTTTTCATTTGAGCAGGGTGGCACTGTCTGCTTTGCTTCTGGGGTTTATGTGTGAGTTTTTCTTCTGGTTTGAAAGCACTTACCAGAAGTTCTGCAGCATTTCTACTCTGAGCACATTCATGGGATATCTGCCAGATAGAAACCAAAGAGGGGTGACTGAAACTCATCCCTGGAGCTGGCATAGCCTTTAAAACCAAGAGGCAGGAGGCAGGCTCTCCCTGGATGCTACAGAAATGGGAGCAGCTGCTTCCTAGTGCACTCAGGCCACAGAGGGACAGGAGGTGAAAGGAAGACCCACAACCAGGACTGAAAACTGGTGTTTGTGCCACATGAGAGGACTTTCAGTTGAAGTGTTTTGTTCCTCCAGCTCCTCTAAGCTCTCCCAAAGCTGAGGGGATCCAGATGGATGGGGAGTCGGGTATTTTGGGGCCATAATGCTGCTGTTTACTGAGATCTCAGTTATCTGTCTGTCCTTTTTCTCTCTTTGCTGCTTGTCCTTGCAGCAAGAGGACTCACTGTGTGTGCCTGGGCTCTTCTTGAGCTCTCTCATTTCCCTCCTGCATTTCTCAGCCTCCTGGGAAGGGCTCTTAAGAGAAAAGCATCCTCCATTAACAGGTAGGACCTGGGCATACTCTTTTGCAGATGCATTTGCTGCCCACATTTTGCCTTCCACAGAGGACTCTGAGTATATGCATGACCTCTGGGTGCTCATTATTGGAGGAAATTTTAAAAAAATGTGGGTTTTTTGCAGTGGTTAGCACAAACCCAGTAGTTTCTATGCACAAAAGAGTGGTTTCTCTCCACCCCTACTGCTCACCTCCGGCTGTGGCAGACTGGATTTCCTCTTGGCTCACCAGAGTTGGGTGTTTCTCCTGCCTGTTGCTTTTAGGGAAGGCTGGGAAGGGGACACAAGGTGCAGGGTTAGGTGTGAGTGGGTGACACCAGGGTGACAGTCTGACACATCCTCTGTGGAGCAGAGCTGGTGGAGGGGGTGTTCTGCACCCTGGGGTGGGTGTGGTGTGCTCCCAGCACAGCATCCTCTGCTCTTGGGAGCTTCATGACTCAAACTGGATTTTCTGGGAAGAATCAGTCCAAGCCAGACCCTGGTTCAGGGCTCTGGAGCATCCTTGGGAAGTGCAGCCTCTCTTTATTTTGGTTTCCATGTCTAAAGAAGGGGAATATTAATATTACCAGGCTAGGACGGATGTGGGGTGAGGTCATTGCTTAGCACCTGCCAAGATTTTTAAAGTCAGAAAGTTCAACTTTCCATGAGACAAACAATACTCACTAACAGTTTACACATATCTCCATCACTAGGAAATACTTCAGTGCAGGGGTAGCTCTGGTAAACACAGTTTCAGGGTTATGTTTAACAGCCCCTAAGGCTGTTAATGCCCTTTTCTGGGGTCATTTTGAAAGGCCCAGTTCAAATGGTACAGCACCATATGCCTCAGCTGGTATTTGCTGATTCTGAGCTTTACTCTGATTAGCATTCAGATTGGGCTTTTTTTTTTTTTTTTTGAAGTTTTTCTGGAATGAGTTTGAAGCATTGTTTCCTACGTGAGACATGGAAAGTTATTATTGGAGATCAAATTCTTACTTTGGTCATTTTATTTTCCTGTTGAAAAACAGATATTTTTCTGGATGACCTTTCTTATTTAACAGTAAAGCAGATTAGACAGACATTTCCGTGATGCAAAAAGCATGGGGTTTTTTTGGTGTTTAAAACTGCAATGTGTCTCAACTTTTAGAGATTTTAGAGACTGGAAGAAAATGGAAGTCCCAGTTCAATTGTCTGACATCACATTTAGGAGATCATTCTTACAGCAGTTACTCCTGATCCATAGATACACCAAAGTGATTAAAACCCAAGCTCTTATGAAATATTATCACAGTACAGCACAGTAACAGACCCTGTGCATTTCTTCAGGGGAAGAAGGCAAGACCCACAAAGCTTGGTTTGATTCCACTCACAACAAAATTCTTAGGAGATATAGGTAGAAATCCCTAAAAATATGCTGAAGGTGAGTTCAAAAATTATTATTGATACTTCTTCTGGAGTTCAGTGTTCACCAGTGCACACTGAATATTGAACAAATCCATGACAATTGAGTTTACCAAGCTTCTCTTGGGAGCTCTTTTCATTCTTTCCTTTATGCCCTTTTAACTGCCTGGAGCAGAATGTACTTTCTGTCATAAAAGAGAAATCAAACTGTTTCTGGCTGCAGCCAGAAACTCCTACAGGGTAAAGAGAGGCTGCTCCAGCCTTGGCCAGATGGTGAAAAGCTTCTCCCAGGTCATGATCAGTTGTATCACAGCACATTTTCCTTCTGCTACGGCTCTGTGGGAGCAGGAGGTGAGGTGGTGTCAGCTGCTCAGGGAGCCCACGCTGGTTTACAGCAGCTGGAGAGGTGGCTCAGAGCCTTGAGAAGAGGATTTCCCCCCTGCTATGTGCAGCAGAAGGTATTTAGGTGTTCAGGCTAGGCACTGACCTGGAAAGATTTCCTTACATCCTCCTGCAGCTGGATTCACACCTGCCTGAGGAAAGCTGACAAAAACAAAGACAACAAGATGAGCCTGAAAGAGCTCAAAGACTTCCTGAAAGAAGTGAACATTGAAGTCGATGACTACCATGCCAAGAAGATTTTCCAGGTAATGGGAGCAAGCAGAAGAAGGCTTTGCTGTTGGCTGAGGTCAAGGTGTCCCACAGCTTTCAGCTTGGGTTGGAGACCTCACCTAAAGTGAATTCGTGGCTTCTTTTCTTGTACCAAGGAAGGACTCTCAGGTTTTGGTGCTCAGTAATTTATTGCTCAGAATAATTGATTCCCACTAAGTTAGGCCAGCACGATGCTTTGGATGTGTTAAGATCTCTCTTCATAATTGATGGCTACTTTTGCCACGAAGCAGAAGATAAGATGCAAACACAGATAATAAAAGAAAAAGGGTAACAAAGTTGAAGTCCCAGGGGTTTTGGGAGTTTTGTGAGCCACAGCTGCATGTCAATGCCTAAGTCTGGCTGAATTTTGTTTGATTACAATTGTGAACGCAGATCCTCACCTTTTCAAAGGGGGTACAAAGTGACAGATATAAACAAACAAACAAAAAAATTGAAGTGCCAATTAAGAAAAAAACTTTTCCAGATTCATGATAGATCCACAACATTGCACCCAAGCCTGGACTAATCTGATTGATTTAATACTCCCAAGGCATATTTAATCTGGTCAAGGATGTACACTTCTAAATTCTCAAGATTCAGCTTGCTGTCTGAGCCTATCAGAAGATAAGAAAGGGATGAAAATTTCTCAGTTGTTAAGTTTTGGGTTTCTCTCTAGAGAATCCATCCTGCTGAGGTGAGATTAAACATCTGGATAATTTCCAGACTTCCATTCTGACTGAATTAATGTGTGTGCAGTTTCATGAATGTTTTTTTCTGATCAGTGGTAAACACATGGGTGGTTTTGGGCACTGAGCAGGAGTTCTGCTCCTCTGTGTGAGCAGCCTTCCCCCAAAGGTGGTCCAGGTTTTCTTGTCTTTGCTTTATAGACATATCTCTTTGTATACAGCTCCTTAGGAATCTGGGGGAAGTTAATCAGCACATCTTAAAGAATTTCAGCTCACAGAATACTCCAGGTGTACTGCCCACTCTGGCTGGTGGATCCCATCCTTTATTCCCTGCCCAGGAAGGTCCTGGAAGAGTGGAAATAAGGCTGGGAATGCACAGATTGAGGTGCACGTCTCCACTGGAAGTAGTTGCCAACACTTCCTCTGCAGACTGTGCAGGTGAAGCCAGTAGGGACCAGAATCTCCTCATCCCAAAGGATACATCTCACATACAGGAGATGAATCGCTTCCACATCTTCACACATCAACAACCTGAAAAAAAAATCACCCTTGGTTTGGTTTTGGTTTTAAATTTTACTTTCTTTTTATTTTAGAGTCACAGTCTCCTCTTATTTAATGGAGCTTTTCTACTGTCCCAATAGTTCCAAGGGAGCTCTAGGAGAGGAAGCTTGATGAAATGAATCCTTTTTGCTTAAAGACTCCGAGTAATTGCTAAACTTTGATTCAACCCATGGAAATGCAGGGAGTTAGTTGAAGTACCATCATTAAGCAAGCAATTGTTAAGTTTCCTGTATAGCCACTGGAGAGAGAGGCTCTTTGGAGGTTAATTCAGATCTCCTGAGGGCTGGTTTGCCTCCAGGAAGGGTCTGTGTTGCTTTTAAAGCAATTACATTTTCAGTTTGCATCCTGCCTCAGCTTCGATGGACTAGGGCATTACAGCCTATTAAAGGGTGATCTTTTCTGCCTCAGAGAGTTTTTCTTCATTTAGTCACAGGAAGGAAGGGTGATCAGGGGCTCAAGTGGGGGCTGCAGGGCATGTTCTCACATTATTTTTGCCTCTCGTCACATATCCCTGTGTCCACATTTAGGTTTGAGACACTGGAGTAAAACGTGTTGCAAAGCAACCAGAAATTATGCAAAGCTCCTGTCATTGCTCACTTCATTTCAAGCTGAATATTCATTCTGATGCATCAGAAAGGTGTTTTTGCTGGCAGGCCAAGGGTCATTGAGAACTCATGGCTTGTGATGCACCCATGGGAGGTAAAACACAGCATTTTGGGTTGAGATTCTCTTTCTAATTTGGTCCTCCTGCAGCCAAAGCAGAAGGAACCCACTTTTTTACCATGCATCTGAGCTGTCCTGGATGTCTTGATTCTGGTGCCAGTGCTACTGCCCTGTTTTCATCACAGCCTTTAATGGCAACTAATGAATAAACTTCCCCAGGCACACCACTTAAAATGCCAGTTTTCTAGGAGGAATATCTTGTCATTTTCCCTGTCATGTCTTAAAGAAAAGAACATTTGTAATTCACAACATCCCTGCTGTCTCCACCAGCTGCTTTCCCTCTTTATATTCCTTTTGCAGTTGCTAAGCATCATGCTCAGCTCGGCTTGAGGGATCTGCCAGAGCCCCAGCACAGGATCACAGACATGGAAGGCAGGGAGGAAAAGACAATTCTTGAGCTCTCACACCTATTTTGGAGTTGTCTGTAGTACTGAAGCATGTCACAGGTTGTCCCATCCCTGAGATGAGCCTGTAGCTTCTACCCAGCAGGTTCTGAAGTCAGGACAAGTTGAACTCTTTTTTTTTTTCTGTCACTTTAGTTTGTGAAATGCTAGGCATCATGATAATGTTCTTTGGTTTTTTATGTGCTCCTTAAACAGATAGTGAAAGATTTGCAGGGGATGAAAGTCCCTCCTTATCATCTTGGGACACTGCCAGAGCCACCATGGCCATTGCTGAGATCACTGGCAGAGCTAGGCTGAGATTAGTGTGATTGCTGGTTATACTAAGACAGGCATTTTCATCATAAAAATCAGGAAAATAGCTCTGCCACAGGGGATCAAAGATGGAAAGCAATTTAATTCCTCTGGTTTGACAAGTTGAAGAATTCTGCTAGGAACAAACAACAAATTAATATCAGGATTTGCCAAAGGGAAAAAAAAAATGTTGTTTCTGATGAAATATTGAACCTGGGAGTATTTAAAATAAACTAGAAAAACTTGTTATTGGAAAAGCTGTGTCCTTGATGGAGACATTAATATGTATATCTCAAGCTCCCCATCTTTCATGGTCAATCAAGTCCTTGGCTGGGGTGTTCTGTCACAGATGGTATCTACTGGAAAAGTTCAAACCCCAGAAGAAAATGGAGAATCTGAATTACAGTTCCTTGTGGGAAGATTATATCTGATTTGAAATCTGTGGGGATTTTGTTATGTGGCAGGTTTTGGATAAGAATGGAAAATTTCCATGGAGAGATGGATTTTTTCATACCTAAACATGCACATGTTTAGCAGGTGTGGGGGTTTAAAGTTATTTTTGATGCCATTTTTGCACAATCCCATTGTGAATCTTGACAGCCTCTTGAGGTCTGAGCCACTAAGGTCAAAGGGAGGGTTCTTTTCACTTAACTTCCTGGATTTTTGGCTATACTCTCTATCATTATTTAGTAGAGTCAATTGTTTCCCTTTATTCCCCTGGAGATTAAGCATTACATTTCTTCTGACCCTTGATTTGTGCTTGGATTATTTTGAGCTGTCCTGACTGAAGCACACCAAGTGCTGGAACTCAAGGCTGGTGCTTTTGGGCACACTGATAATGTAGAAATACTAATATCTGGCACTGTTTTATGACTGTTGGCCTTGTCAATGAGAACCATTGTCACTGACCCCGTGCTCCTCACTGGCTGGCCAGTAACTCTTTGCAATTATTTTGTGTTCTGCGTTGTGTAGCCCTGGTGCAGATTACGGCTGGCCTATGCCAGAAGGAAAGAAGGTTTTCACTCCTTCTCCCCTCTACGTTTACAGCACTGTGACAAGTCCAAAACAGAGGCTCTGGAGGATGATGAGATAGAGGAATTTTACAAGATACTGACAGAAAGGAAGGAAATAGACAGCATCTTCCAAATGTACTCGAACCCAGAAGGGTTCATGTCCTGCCAGAACCTGGTGAGGTTTCTCTATGAGGTGCAGCAGGAAGAAGATGCTGTTGTTGCTGCCCCTGCCTTAATTCAGAGATACGAGCCCAACGAAAGAGGTAGGTTGAAAACCCTGGCTGGTTTGCTTTAAAATTTTGGTTTTTTTTTTTGATGAACTATGAATTGCATTGCTGCTGCTTTTATTCCTGCAGCCGTGTGCATTATTTTCTCCCCACAGCTGCCTCTAAAACACCACTCTCCTAGGGGAACATTAGAGAGGAGAGGAGAGGGGCTGGGAAATCTCCCTCTTCAATTTTATTTTGGGTGCACTGAACAGCAGGAGAGGGATTGATGCAGGTTTGACTGCAGGATGATGAAAATCTTGAGGGAAAGACTCAGATGGGTTATTCTGATACCAAGACCTCATGTGGCCTTCGAAGGCTGATAATGTAGCAATATTTGTGTTCTCCAGAAGCTGGAGTGGAGGCAGAAGTCCTTGATGGTGGGCACCTGTAAAGCCATCTGCAGATGAGATCTCTGAGTAGAGGCCAAGGAGGTGGCAGCTGTTTAGGAGGCAGACACTGAATGTCTGGTTAGAAACATTCTCTCATTCAGAGACTGACACTGAATCATCAGCCTGGAGCACCTTAGAGGATGTGCTCCAGGAGCCAACTCAGAATCATGGGCTGGTTCCTACTATCCTGCTATTCCTGCAGGAGAGGGACAAGGCTTTGCAACTGTCAGGCTTTAGGATTAGGCTGAGATTGAGTTCAGTCCCTCAAAATGGGGAGTAATTTTGTATTTCCTCTTTGCAAATCCTGTCTTTCATTGGATAATCTAGACAGGATTTTTCTGGCTGTGTTTAGACATCTGACAGCTTCTCTGGGTTGGCGCAAAGAAACCTTGAAATGCTCAAACAGAGATTTTGTGCTGTAAATTTCTAGAGACAGATGAGGTAAGGTCTGTCTTTGACACTTTTAAGATGTTATCAAGGACAAGTGTAATAAAAAGCCACGTAAGTGCCATAAAAAGCTGTACTTGGGAAGGGGCTTTAAAAGCATTTTCAGGCAGCTGAAAGTGTCATCCTTGTCTGGAGAGCATTGATGCCTTTGCTTTTACTGACTGCCTGGGGAGCACATTTTGCCTCTGGGATCTCCTGGAGAGCAGAGGCACCGTGGTGAAGGTGGTGGCACGACCTGGTGGCATCTCAATTTCAGTGTGGTGTTTTCTGTCTGTTTACCTGGCAGCCAAGAGGGGCAACGCCATGACCAAGGATGGTTTCCTGATGTACCTGCTGTCAGACGAGGGGAACATATTCAACCCCTCCCACCGGAAAGTTTACCAGGACATGACCCAACCTCTCAGTCACTACTTGGTGTCATCCTCACACAACACCTATCTCATGGAAGACCAGATCACAGGGCCAAGCAGCACAGAGGCCTATATCAGGTAAGGAATGTGTGTGTTTGGGAGGTTAACCTCTTTTTTTCAGAAGACATGAGTGTCTGTGCTGATGGATGCAAGGGATCAAGAAGCAATCTTCCACCAGACCAGGTAATATGGGCTGGCCCGTGTTTCCAGAGTGAACTCCTTCCAAACCAGGTTGGCTGTGCCCTCCTTTTCACAGCTCTTTGACCTGAGTCTCATCTGGTGTCCACTTGAGTGTAGGATGTATAATTACTACATGTGGAAGCAGTATAAAATATCTGCAGTCACATGGAGGCTGGATTACAGCCCTCTGGCCTGGTGTTTTCAAAGCATGATGCTGAGGGGGTGTTGTATTCCCCAAAATATGGCACAGGAGAGTGCAAGGAGCTTACAAGATGGAAAGATTCCTGGGACAGAGCTGCAGGTCTGGGAGGAGCCAAAACAATTCATGGTGTCATGGTGCTTATGCTCTGTACTGCCTTTGGGAGAGGCCTGTGGCAGGGACTGTCCCCACACCATGATGGGGTTTATTTTGGAGAGTCTTAGTTGGAGAAAAAAGAAAAAAAAAAAAAAAAAAAGTTGGGATATGAACAGGGTGAGAGATCAGGAGAACTTACACCTGGTGCCTTTTTAGCATCTCAGATATTCCCGCAGCACCCCTGCACAGAGCTTTGGGTGTTGCCTTTAACAACATCTCATGGCCAGGTGGGTGCAGTGACCTTCAGTAATTGCACACCCACCTTGCACTACTCCTTGTTTTTATCAGGTGAGATGGTGTTTCCTTGTGAGCCAGTCAATGGCTGCAATTCTGCCTTTGTTTATGACTTGCCTCATTCTCAGGAGCAACGGCTGACTGGAGTCACAAGGTCAAAAGTGTTGAGAGTGAAATCTGGCACAAGTTATTTCTCAGCAGCTCTTTGAATTCATCTTACAGAGACTTAAAATTATAGATGTATGTTTGGGATGCACAAAAAAAAATAAATCCCATGATTCTGGAGCAGGTTTCCCAGAGATGCTGTGGATGCTCCATCCCTGGAAGTGTTCAAGGCCAGGTTGGACAGGGCTCTGAGTGACCTGGTCTAGTGGAAGCTGTCCCTTCCCATGGCAGGGGTGGAACTGGGTGATCTTTAAGGTCCCTTCCAACTCAAACCATTCTGTGATTTTATTGCAATGAGTTAAAGGAATTGTGTGATCTGAAATATTTAGGGAATTACAGCAAAAGAGACGAGATCACCTCCTAGATAGATGGGGGAAAATCTGCACTTGAAAATAGATTGAAATGGGAGCATGGCTATGTAGAGGTAGGAATTTCACATGGAAATTTGGTTTGTAGACTTGATTTAAGAAACTGGCTCTCAGCAGTCTCCTCAGCTATGGTGAGGAGCTCCCTCCCTCCCTTTCTCCCAGCTCTGAAGATTCATCCCTCATGTCATATCAGTTCTAGATGAAGAACTCATGTAATCTAAGCTTTGTGACCTGGCTTCTAAGGCTGATTGTCATCCTTCTACTGCCACTCTTGATTTTCTCTTCACCATCTTTGGGGAAAGACTTGGGGCACAGTCATCAGTGTCCTTTCTCATCTGACACTCACTATGTCTTATTCTTTGGATAATTCTACCTTGGACTTTCACTACCTTATTTCTCAGATCCTTCTGTGCTTTCCTTGCTCAACCTTGAGCTCTCTTTGCTGACACTGATTTTACCTGATCCCATCCTTTATCTGATCTCCTGTTTTTTCCAAGCTCCTTTCTTTTCCCTTGCTCCTGAACTTCCTTCCACTCTTCCCAGGCAGTGCCTGTGCCTGATGTACTCTCACTTGGAGATGGAGCAGAAGATGTAGAACCCAACCAGGTCCCTTCTTTGTTTCCAGAGCCCTGACCAAAGGCTGTCGCTGTGTGGAGCTGGATTGCTGGGATGGCCCCAACTCAGAGCCCGTCATTTATCATGGCTACACTCTCACCTCCAAGATCCTCTTCAGCGATGTCATTAAGGCCATCAAGAACTATGCATTCAAAGTAAGGATGAGGGACTTTTTCTCAAGCTGCACAACCCAGGACTGGCAGTAGAGCTCTTCGCTCCCAGCAGAGAGCAGAAGCAATGACAGCTTCACCTCATGGGGACAAGATGTGTCCTTCTGTCTGAGCATCCATGTTCTGCTTCCTCCAGAGATCCATCCCTGGGGGTTGCTGCACAGGGAGAGCACCATCTGAGGATGAGTCTGAACCTGTGCCAGCACAGCTGCATCTTGGACCCTACTACAATGAAAATGATGCTCATAATCTTGAGCACACCTGGTGGGAAATGCCAGCAAGCTCATAATAGGTGTAGCTTTGATGCCTCTTGTTTAGAGGAACCAATGTGCTTGTTTTGGATGTGAAGGGCTGTTTTTATTCTGCTTTAAAAGAGATGAACAGGGCTGGAGTCTTGTATGGCACCAGGCTTCCGAAAATCTTAGGTCTGTCCAGACTCACTGGACTCTGCTGCTTTCCTTCAGTGCACTTGGGAGCTGGTGCCAAGTTTTGATTGGGGCCATAAAGGAGTGGCAATGACAATAATGACAATGCCTTCAGCACACAAAATGACCTGGGGGACACAGGGAAGCAGATCAGGGCTATGAAGGAGTGGAGGAAAGATTAATATCACTCAAGGGCTTGAGCAAACCCTGTGATTTCAAAGCTCCCTTCCCAGTCCTTCCTCTGAAGGTGGGTAGGAAGGTGCTCTGGCCCACAGTGCAAGTGGAGAATGGAGGCACAGGGAGTGCCCCAGAAGGTCTGTGAGAGGCAGTCCTGACCTATCCTGGTGCCTTCTCCATTGGACCATCATCTCTGGAAGGCATCAGCACAGATCTGAGTAACTACTGCACAGTCAAATTTTTTAAAAATCACATTTTTAACAAATCCTTGCTTTAGGAGAACATCAGCCCCTCCTGTTGACATGCTCATTCCCAGAGAAATGGAGTTCATACCAATTGCTGCAGAGTTCACTGATGGTGTGTGTTGCTGTCTTGTTCCAGACCTCACCATACCCTGTCATCATCTCCCTGGAGAACCACTGCAGCGTGGAGCAGCAGAAGGTCATGGCCCAGCACATGACCACCATCCTGCAGGACATGCTCTTGGTTGCCCCAGTCGATGGAAACAAATCCCAGTTCCCCTCCCCAGAGGTAAGCAAGGCCACTCCAGCACTTCCAGCCTTCTGAGGGTTAGACAAGAGGGAAGTTTCTCTTCTTACTGAGTGCAAAGCTCAAAACTCAAGGGGAAAACCACTGCAAGTAGCCTGAAGGTGTATGAAACACAAAATGTCCTGCCATTGAGAGTGTCCTGGGGGAGCCACTGGGAATGCCCTGGGATGGTGAGGATGGAGATGTCCATGGAGGAAAAAGGGAAGCAGGAGGCTGCCTAGAGATGCCCCTTTTATTCCCAGGAATCAGGGCAGCTGACAGGCTAGGAGCTGAGCCCTGGCCTTGCCAGAGGAAAGAGATACACAGCACTCAACAGTGGTTCACCACTACAAATCATTAGCTGACAGCAAAAACTGGAAATGGAATCTTGATATGAAAAATATGTCTCCAAAACAGGAGCCGAAAGGAAACATCAATCTATTTCCACCAATGTGGTTTGTGCTTGCTTTCTGACTTTCTTTCTGTTTTTCTTAGCACTTTGAAGGAACAGACTCCTGTACGGTTAGCTGCAGTTCCCTTTAAATTTCATTTCTTTGCTCATTCTCCAAAAATTAGATTAACATGCCTAGTCAGAGCTGGGAGGAGTTTGTGGGTGAGATAAAGCTGGCAGTCAGCAGAGGAGAAAGAAGAGGAAAACAATCCACCCAGAATATCTTCTATATTAGTTGTCCCTCTTCATTAGCTGCCTTCCCTTTCCTTATTCTGTTTCCCCTTTTGTTTGGGAATGTCATGCCTCATTTGATACAATGCCTGGCACAAAGGGAAGCTGCTCTGGGCTGGTCCCTAAGCACCAGGGCAATAAATTAGGATGAATTGTAAATTTACTGCTGCTGCTTCAGCAGGACCTTGGCTCTGGCACAGACAAGGTGCCTCCACTGGGAGAAGTGACTCTCCCCGGGTGAGGACACTCCCAGCACAGAGATCAATCTTTGCAGGCAGTTACTGAGTTGGAAAAACACGTCTTCAGTGTCCCTTCCTGACTTGTTATTTATCCTGGTGCAGGATCAGGAAAACTGCTGATGGCTTTTCAGCTGATGGCAATAATATGATGAAAGAAAGGAGAAACACCAAGCAAAGCAATGTGTGATTTGTGAGTGGAAGGGGATGACCCCAACTTCCCAAAGATGTTTTTTCCATGCCTGTGCTCATCTAACCTCCTGATTTTGATTGCCAAAAAGACACTTGGCCCCTGCTGAACACAATGCCCAGATCTACCCTGGGGAATGGATTTGGGCTGATGTGCTCTGTTGCAGGGATTGATCCATTTAGTTTAAACACAGAAAAATTGCCAATGTTGCAACACCTATCCTTTTCCTTCTGGTACTTTTCCTCTGCCTTCCTGCTTTTTGAAGTAGGACAGTGCAAAGGGATGAAATGTTAATTTTTTTTTTTTTTTGAGTGTAAAATACATTGAAACTGAAACATGAGGGAAAAACAAACAAACAAACAAACCAGGAACCTCTTGGCTTCTGCCTCCCTTGTTGACATGAGGAAACCAGGAACAACAAGGTATTTTTTATATTAGGAAAAGGGTGGGATCTGCCACTGGGCAAAGGGCTGGAGGCTGTAAACACAGTGGAAGGATTGCTGCCGATTGTGTCAGCAGGGCAGGGTTAGTAATTAAAGGAAGATTGACACGGTTTGAATTTGTGCTAACGATTCACTCCACAGCCCAGGGCAGGAATCTGATTTATTCAGCTCCATTCAGGAGCAGTGTTGGGCTACACAGATTATCTAAATATCTCCCCCAAGCTGCTATCTTTAGGTCCCAATAGTGAATTAAAGGCTTTTGGATGAAAGGCCAAAACACACATAAAGGCTCCAGGCAGCACCAGGGTTGTAGGGAGGAGCTGATCCAGTCTCTGCTCCTGGTGGGTTCTTACCCTTCAATCCCATCCCTGCCAGGGCTCTGCCAGGGCCCTTGGCCCTGTCCCTACATCCCAGCTAGAAATGCTGCAAAGTCACAGTCCTAGAATGAGACAAAAACTGTTCTCATTGTTGGAACAATTCAGTGAGACCCCTACAGTTCTTTGTTCTGGAATTCCTTGTTTATGAGGACAGTGGCTTTGGGCATTACCCACACATTTTGTGTCAATGTGGCCTCAGATCCATCTGCACATCTCTGTTTCTCCAGCCTTAGCCCAGCTTGTGTCAGTCTTGTCTGCAGTGCATCTTCTTGCCTGAAGTTCTTGAGCTGAGTCTCCTTCAATCCTCCAAAACCTCTTTCAGTAAAGTGTTTCTTCCCCTTTCCTGGAGACTCTCTTCATCCTCTGGTGCCACTCATTGCTGGTGCAACTCTTCAGTTTGCAGCTGAAGGATGTGCACAGATGGAGATGTGATGCCAGTTAGTGCAGCTGATCTGCACATCTCCTCGTGGATGGGAACATGTTATTCCTCACAGCTTCCAGAAGTCTGCAGAGAGGGATATCCTCATCCTGAGAGTGGGATGTGTGTCAGGAGGCAGTGCTCAGCCCCTGTGTATCGTGTACCTGAGCACTTAAATTAGGTCTCCTTTGGAGAAACAGTCAGAGGAGTTGGAGGTGTGGTCCACCTCCTCCTCAGTGTTTGTCCAAACAGAGCAGGAATCACACCCTGGGAGTGTTTGGTTTTCTCTGTTGACTCTAAAGGAGGTGTTGAAGCCACAGAAAGTTTGTTGAGATGGATCACTTTACAAATCTTCCATTCCCACTGAGATGAACGCTGGAGTTCAGACCTTGCCGTGGCTCTCAGGTTGCTCCTAGGGGCAGGAAGCTTTCAGATAGGATAAACCTGTGTGTGCAGATCTTTTAAAATCCTCTGCTCATTACAGCTCTGCTGCTTCTGGTAAAGTCAGTGCTTTCCTTTAAGATGGTTTCCATATCCCAATGTCAGAACCATTTCATCTGCACGGCTGAGCTTGTTCAGTGTGCAGTGGAAAAGGTGGGAGAGCAGATGAGCTCCACTTCAGGGGGACTAAGAAATGCCATTTTCAGGGCATGTGAAGAAGGACAAGAGTTACATCTGTTCCAGCAGCCACTCCGCTGTGTGTTCTCAGTGGAGTCCAATGTCCTTGTAGCCTTTCCTGAGGTTGTACTCCACCTTGAGCTTCTCACAGGCAGCTGGAATGGCTTTATGGTCTACTTGGAGAACATTTATTATTTCAGCTATTGCTTCCTCCTAAGACAAGGGATCTGCTCAACAGAGCTGAACTGATGAGCTGAGTGTCTTTTGCCTCAGGCTAGAAATATCTAATATCACATGAAGGGGAGCCAGGAGAGATGGTGCAAGGGCACGTGTGTGTTTGTGACTGTCTATATCAGTTTATTTCATACCTCAGTAAAAAAGATAAACTCTCAGGTTTAGGACTTTGCTTCCTCTTCAGGGGGCATTCACTGGAATGCTACTACAGGGTAGCACCTTTTGCAGGAAATGGGGATGAAAATGCCTCTCTTTGGGGTGAGTCTCACCCTTTCTTCTGACAAATAAGCAAATGGATCTCCTCTGAGTTAGGTGGCACATAGGCTGCTCTCCCTTGTAGGCATAGGAGCAGTGTCCTGTGCCCATAGGGAGCATCTGTTCCATATCTAAGATTTCCCAGAGGAACCACAGGCTAGATAGGATAGCAGCAGCACTGAGGACCTGCTGCTGGCAGCTCTGGAATAGATTGTGGTGAGGAGACACAGTGGGGGCTGTGTTGCTTCCCTCATGATGTTCTTCAGCCGTGTGGGATTGGTCTGGGCCAGGAACTGCACCTCCCATGTGCTGAATGGGAGTGATGCTTTGAGAAGGCTGACATGGAGCAGAGGCTGGACAGAGCTAAAGAATAAAGCAGGGATTTATTAAAAGGCCTCCATGGATCCACCTTGGGCAGCACAAGAGCCCAGCCAGGGCTGCACCCAAGATGAACCAAAATGGTGACAAAAAATGGACACTCCATCATGGGGTCTCACACTTTTAAAGTTCTGATCCATTTGCACATTGGAGTTCATTGTTCAATTACAGCTCCAGCCCATGAAGTCCCACCCTTGTTTTTCTCTCTTCAGTCCATGTTGTTTATTCTCTGGGGCCTGAAACTTGTGTTGGTTGTCCTTAGTCCCAGGCTAGAAAATTAATTGTTTTGTCTCCCTACTCTGTGAAGAGAGCTTACCAACACTTAATTTGAAGCTCAGAACTATACCCCTAGGCAGCTCAGAATCTGAAAAATATGAAAGCTAAAACTTAAGGCATCATTTCCTCCCTTTAGAGGCTTGACAAGGCTTAAAAAGCATAATTACCTGCTGGTAATTAAGAATCAAGTGGGCTGCCCCAAATACCTTATCCTTAGTGAGGGGAGGCAGTACCATTTCTTGTGGGGCATTGGAAAGCAGAGGCAGATGATATATTAAATACCAGGATGGTATCTGCAGCCTGCAGGGGACTAGAGGGGCTGCTCTCAGCCTCTCCTGATGCCTTGAGAGGCTGACCTAGAACAGAGGCTGGACAGAGCTAAAGAATAAAGTAGGGATCTATTAAAATACCTCCATGATGCACCTTGGGCAGCACCAGAGCCCAGCCAGGGCTGCACCCAAGATGACCCAAAATGGTCCCAAAATGCACGAGCGCTCCCGGGGCTCTCCCTGGGATCAGTTCTGCTCCATTGGCACCTTGGAGTTCATTGTCCCATTCCAGCTCCAGCCCAGGCAGTCCCATCCTGCTTGTTTTTCTCTCTCCAGCCCACGCTGTTTGTGCTCCTGGGCTGAGATTTGGATCATTTGTCCTTGGTTCCCAGCTGGAGCAGGAATTGTTTTGTCTCCCTGCTCCGTGCAGAGAGCTCAGCATCCCCTAAAATGAAGCTCAGAAATACACACTAAAGCAGCACAGACTCTGAAAAATATAAAAGCTAAAACCTGAGGCATCACTCCTTATTGTCCCCAGTGCAATCCTTCCAGGCTTGTCCATCCCAAGTGCTGAGCAGAGCCTGAAAGCTGCACAGAACTGGATTTTGTGGTGGAAGAACAGTGTAGAGCTGGGAGTTGAGGCAGGAGGGTGGGAAGGGACATGGGAGCAGCAGGCTGAAGTCAGGCTCTGAAGATGAGCCAACTCATCTCCCAGCCATGGATGTGAAGAACAGAGCACAGCCCTGCCTGGAAGTCTGGGAGGGTGGTCTGGGGATGGGGGGGAGGATATTGCTGTGCTCTGGCTGCTCCTTTGAGTGCAGCTTTTGAGTGACAGGGAAGGTGCACCAGTGTGAGCAGCTCTTTTGTGGTAGCTGAATTAAAATGCTCTTGGCTGCTGCCTCAGGTGCCAGTGTTGGATTTCTGCTCAAATCCAGCTTCATCCACAGCTTTGCCAGGTGGTGAGGAGTGGGGTTGGTCTCTGTAAAGATGTGATGCAATTTGCTTGAACCCACAAAGGGTGCAAAGGGGGAATGGCGTCCTTTGAAAGCGCCTGTGTTGTTTTATAAAAGATTCTTGGTTTTTCACAGTCCTGTCATTTGATTGTGGTGGGGTTTTGTTGCTTTTGCTGTTGCAGAAAAGGTAAATATAGGGTGTTTCTGAGGAAAGGGGAACGTGCTACACAGATTGAGGGGCTGTGCTGGCTAATTCCAATATAGCATTTTTTTTTAATAACTCATACCCTCCAAAGCCAGGATCACCAAACACATCCAGGTGGCAGCAAATCTCCTGTTCCTGGGGATTCCACTAAGCTGCCAAGCCTAGTGGTGCTCTTGATTTTAAGGCATAACCCAGACACCTGGAGATCACCACCAGTCACCTTTCCCAATACTTCTCCCTGTCCCAAGCATTTCTGCTGCCTTGTTTGGGCTCTAAGTCATCCCTGTCCAGGCTCCAGCCTTCCCCCCACAGCCAGGGCTTGTGCAAAGGATGTATCAGTGGTGAGGGGTTGAGGATTCTTTGCTTTTTTTTTGCCAAGGTCAGGATTTTATGTGTGAGACAGTATTTCTTGTCCAGACTCAGATATTTGTTTTTATCTCTGTCACAGTCTCACAAACCCTGAGCTCTACAGCACTTACACTCTGACAAACTAAACATGGAGCCCCATCTCTACAAGGCCTTTTAAGGATAGACTGTCCAATTAAGAAATGACACCTCAATTATTTTTACTTTTAACCCAATAACCAACCACCCGTGGCTGCAATGTGGACTTTGTTATCCAATTACAGAAAACTGTGGAGAAGGAGGTGAAGAAGAAGGATTAGTCTCTGCCCTAAAACCTCCATCTTACTTTATATCTATTATTATTTTCTAAACCCTCAAACTCTGAGTTTCCCAGCCTGTGATATCACACATTTCTATCCAAACTCCACCCCCACAATCCCAGTTCTGCCATTCCATTTTGGAAGCTTCTCCGTGGCCTCAGGTCAATGCAGTGTTCTCCTGGGGGTCAGTGCCTGGCAGCACAGAAAGTCTGAAATTCTCAGTGTCCAGGGCTCCAACCAGGGGTTTCATGTGACCCTTGAAAGAGGCTGGAGAGAACTGGTTCAGCACAGGGAAGGTGCTCCCTGGACTCCCTCTGCAGCCAGCTGTGATGCTGTGTCACACGCTGCTGGCTGTGCTCAGTGTTGTGCCACCACAGCAGTGGCAGGAGAAGCTGTTCCCTCAAGAGGAGGTGGCTTTGCAAAGGGAAATCCTCCTGAGGCTCTCAGCATCCCAAGGCTTCACCTGCAAAATGCCAAATTATTAAAATTCCTTGTCTGCTGTGCATGAGGAACCTGTCCAGAGCCTGCTGGAGCTCTCTGCCCATTAAAATGTCAGTGGAGCAGAGGCTGCACTGCCTCAGTCCTGCTTGGATCTCAGACAGTTTCCAGAGTTGTGCACAGGTTTAGAGCCACACACTGCAGAGCGAGGGCTGCATTAAATCACAGGCCACACAGAGGGGCAAAAATGGTGCTACAAATTTCTTCCAGCAGCCCAGACCTCCAGGCTCAGCCTTGTTTGCTGAGCAATATTTCAGACTTGGGGGAAAAAAGAGTATATTTTAATTGCCTTTAACAGCATAACTCTTTAAGTTGTCTGGTTGAGGGGATGGTCAGCTCTATGACAGAGGGGAATCACTGGGCTCTCTGGGGTTTTCAGACTCATGGCTTTGGTCTCAGAGGCTGGGCAGGGCCCCAGTGTAAAAACAGATTTATTTTTACCTGTGTCTGGGAAATAACCAGTCACTGATGCAACTGTAAAAGCACTGGTTACAGCTGAGGGGCTTTTTCAGGGTGGGCCACCAGGTATTTTGTCCACTTTTCCTTGTCTAACCACCAGGTATTTTGTCCACTTTTCCTTGTGCAGCAATTGAAAGGGAAGATCCTGGTGAAAGGCAAGAAGCTGAGCAGGCAGGAGGACCCCATCAATGGGAACAACAACCTGGAGGCTGAGGATGTCTCTGATGAAGATGAAGCTGCTGAAATTGAAGATGAATCTGTGAAAACCAAGGTAGAGCAGAAGGGAAAGGTAAGTGAAAGAAGAAATCACTGAGAAATCACTTTTTAGGTGGGTTTTATAGCACACCTAAAGAAATAAAGAGAGAAAAGCAGTTGAAATACAATTTTTCATGTGTTCCCAGGCAAGACAGGTCTTAGTGTGGCTTCAGCTACTCAGCTGGGTTGAAAGAGTAAATTGTTGAAATTGCTGGGGCTGAGGATCGTGATGCTTGCCCAGCTTAATGATCTCTGTCCCAAGCACAGAGATCTTGCAGAGCCAGCCAAGCAAAAAGGTTGGCTTCCTTCTCTAAAATGAGACTGGAGGACCTTGCAGCAAGGACAGACCATGTAGCAATTATGGAAGCAGTGGAAGGACACATGTTCAATCTCTGTCTTATTTCCAGAAAGCTGTTGGTCATGGGACAGTCATGATTTTGGCTTTTCCAGTCACATTTTGGGATATGCCTGCAGCCTCACTGGCTGTTTCTTTCTGACCTGGAGGAGGGAGGGAGGGAAGATCTATGGGGAAGGGGTAGCCAGTTCCTAAAGCAATTAGTATGATTATTTCTGTAAGGAAAAGGCTGGCCTTTTCAATAGTGTTTTGCCCCATCATGTAAGAAATGGATTTTTACAGTGTGCAGGTCCTTGTGAAGCCCATATCCCTCACAGGGTGGCTCCATAGGTGACACAGACACGTTCAGCCCCACTGATGGCAAAGCTCTTGGTGTTACCTCTGTATCAGGACTGATCTATATTTCTCTTTGATGAGCTGCTCACTCTTTGCAGGTCTTACTTATTTCTCTGCTCTCTAGTCAATAATGTGTACATTATTTTGACATTCTGACATCTTTTGACTTTCTTTTCTTGCCCCTGATGGGAGTGGGGACTCTCACTTGCACCAATAAATGTGGCTGTGGAGTTGGACTCAACAAAGCATTGTGACAGCTTCCTGGTTCATGGGGGAAAAAGCCCAAGCTCTGTGGAGGCTTCACAGCCTTCTCTTCCCTTTATTTCCAGGTTTGCATGCCTGGGACCAGGACAGCATGGAAAAGTCATTGCTAAGGCTTTGCTGTAAAGTTTAGCACCTGGAGACAGACGTGGGTGCTGATATACAGATGATCCTGCAGAGAGCAGCAGGGAAGGGTATCCCACCAACAAAGAGGGAATCCTTTTCCAGCCTTTCCTGCACAGGGTGACACACAGGGCACACCACCAGCCACTGACTGAGAGTGTGCATCTTATCCTGGTGGAAGTGGTGGAGAAGAAAAGCCCTGGGGTCCTATAGAAAAAACACAACTACCACTTTTGAGCACGACAACAAAACCTCCCCACAAACCTCTTGTCTCCTGTTTTTAGAGTGACACCTTGAAGCTGGCCAAGGAGCTGTCAGACACAGTTGTCTACTGCAAGAGTGTCCACTTTGAAGGCTTTGATGACCCCAACCATCCTCGGGCTTTCTACGAGATGTCGTCGTTCTCGGAGAGCAAAGCTCTGAAACTGGCCCAGGAGTCTGGTATGTGTGTTCTGCCCTCCTCTGTCCCTGCTCCCCAGAAAGGGACAGCTGCTGCTGGAAAAGGCATCCCAGAGACACGGGTTAGGATCTCTTTGGTCAAGCATGTCACTGAGAAAAGTGGAGTCTTAGTTTGAAAAGACAGGAGTCTGTGAAGGCAGGCAAGAGCCTCCTGTGAAATGGAAAAGGTAAACCCCCTCCTTTCGAATTACCACAATTAAAATTAAAAGGCTCTCAGGCAAAGATGCGGGAATGGGAATAACAGTTCTTTACTAGGAAAAAACCTAAAAAAAAAATGTAATTAGTACAAACAAAACTACTGATAGAGTCATAAACCTGACACCCTGAGGAGTCAGGGTGTTGGTAATAGTCCAGTTAAATGGTGGCTGCTCCTCCTGGGGTGTCTGATGAAATGCTGCTGGAGTGGGGATCTGCAGAAGGGTGGAGTTTTCTCTGAATGTTTGGTGATGGAGTAGATGGGCCTGGTCTTCCTCTGGGGATCCAGCAGAGAAGAAGCTGCTCCTCTGGGAATCCAGCAAAGGGCTGCCCTGGTGTCCCAAAAAGTGCTGATTTTATGCAGGTAGGAATGCTTGGCTCCTCCCTCTGGGTGGAGCATCTCACTATGGGCTGATGGAACTTTACCAGTCATGCAGTCAGTCGTTCAATAGTCCATTAACAGAAGATATCTCCCCAGAGGGAGACATTGTTCTTGGAAGAGATAAGAAAACATCCCAACCTCCAACAGATGGCAATAGAATCCATGCTTATCTTACAAGCCAGGACAAGTGGGAAGAACTTAATATCCTCTAGGCTGTTAGCAAGAACGACATTTTTGCAGGTGGTTCCCACTCAGCCAGACTTGCCAGGCACAGGGGAGCACACAGCAGCAGCAAGAAGAGATAAAACTGAAAGGGATGTTTCCACCACTGAAATAGATGTTTTCTTCTTTTTTTTCCCTTTCTCTGTAGGAACCAGTTTTATTCACCACAACATCAGGCACCTGAGCCGTATCTACCCTGCAGGCTGGAGGACGGATTCTTCCAACTACAGCCCCGTGGAGCTGTGGAACGTCGGCTGCCAGATCGGTGGGTGTCACTGGGGGCTGGAGGGGGTCACCTGCCTGGGTCACCCGTGACCTGGCTGTGGAGGGGCTCCAGCTGAGCCACAATCTCAAGCCCTTTGCAGCCAGAGGCTTAGCAGTCAGTGATAGAGACCAGCTTTCCAAACAATGCCCAGTGACTTTCCATGGACTATTTTCTGTCTCACAAATCCATTAGGAGAGGCTTTTCTGCACATTAATGTGCAAATCCCTGCAATTTCACCATTTAACAAAGGAGAAGGGAGCATGAGCTCTGTGGGTCCTGCAGCCCCCATGGGGACACAGGTAGCACCCCTTACCCTGTCTGGCTTAAGGACAATCCTTGGGAGGCACCATCAGTTCCCTTGGGGTACAGGAAGGCCAGACATGAATACAGTATTTGGGCATGCAAAACAAGATTTTTTACAAGCCCTGAGTACTTTCAGCTCCCAGGAAAACTAGTGTGCTGCAGTTATCAAAGTCTTGCTGTAGGTGGAAAAATAGGGGAGTACCTTAAAATGCTCTCAGCCTTCAAGTATGACCAGGTATGAAGGACGTGCAGCCAGGATAAATTTTTATGTCTTAAGAGATGTCTTAGATGTTGCTGAAGAGTTTAAAATCATCCTTGAGGAAATCAAGGGAGCACTGAGGAGCTGCTGGGGTCCATGTGCACTCCCTGTGCTATCAGTGAGGCTGTTCACAGAGATTGTTCCAGGTTTTACATCAATACCTTTTAAAAGGTATCGACAAATTGGGAAAAATACAAGGAATGTGCCTGATATTAGGACACCAGTGAGGTTTAGTCTGTTTTGGGGAGTAGAGAGTAAAAAGGTGATTTGATCAGCTCTTATGAGCTTGTGTGCTGCCACCTGAGGAGTTCAGACAATGAGGAGCTCTCTAGTCCAGAGGCATCAATGCCCCTCGGGATGGCAAATGAAAACAGGCAGATCTGGGCTGAAAAGGAGATTTTATAATGAGGCTAAGTAGCCAGAGAAATTATCTGAGATGGATTTGCTGGCTTCACTGCAGGAGAGGATCCCTTCAGCATAGAAATTAAGAGGTTTATCTAAAAGATGCACTTGTTCTAGCTAGCATAAATTCCTTGCAGGACAATTTTTGATCCTAGGGAAGGCAGAATGGCTGTAATTGCTCCTGCCTATCTTTGTCATCTCTGAATGCAAGAAATCCTCATGGCTAGCAGGCTGTGAGGGTCAGAGTTTACTACTGCTCTTTGAAGCGTGGAAAAGCCAATGTTTATGTCCATGAAGTGCAGTTTTATGTGAACAGAATTAGCATGAAAATATTGCTATTGATTTATCTGAGTGACTGAAGTTATTTATTTATGTTGCAGTTGCCCTAAATTTCCAGACAGCAGGCACAGAAATGGATGTGTACCAGGGTCGGTTCCAGGACAATGGGTTTTCTGGGTATGTCTTAAAGCCGGAATTCCTCCGGGATGAACAAACCAAATTCAATCCAAAATCCATCACAGAAGGAACATGGGGGACAAAGAAGAAGCTGCTGCTTAAAGTAAGAACAGAAGTTGGAAAACATCTCAGTAACATCCACTTTTTTTGGGGGGGTGTATAGGTTGTACCTTCTCCTTCTGGTCCTACCTTCAATGTTGTCTAACCCTACTGATTTCCCACATCTGGGGGCTCTCATGGACTTGGATCCCCCAGGGATCTACTCACGTGTTTGATGTTGGGCAATAAGTTAATGACAACATTTGCTGTCGTTCCAGAGCTGTGCAGGCAGACATGCAATCAGCAGCCACCTCTGGTGTTCCCAAGGACCAGCTGAGCACTGGGGACACTCAGAAAAGTTGCCTGTCCCAAAGCCAGCTGGCTGGGCTGGAGCAAGGTTCCTTAGGTGCTTTAAGCTCATGACAGCTTCCTCTGAAGGATGTCACAGCACCAGCACCAAAAGGGCAGCACCAGCCTTCACAGCAGATCCTGCACTCCTGAGGAAGGAGAGGGAATCCTCCAGGGAGCCCCCTCTCCTAATGATGTCCTGACCTCTTCCCTTGTTTCCTCCACAGATAATCTCTGGTCAGCAGCTGCCAAAGGTGAACAAAAGCAAAAACTCCATTGTGGATCCCAAGGTAACAATAGAGATCCATGGTGTCCAGCAGGACAACAGCAAGAAGCAGACCAAAGTCATCGAAAACAATGGTGAGGAGATTTCCTCCAAGCTCTGCTCCCATGAGCAGGAACCTTTTCTGTCCCTTGGCAAGACTGCTGCCCTGTGGGCAGACCTGCCTGGGGCACCCAATCCTGCCCACACCAAGCAGATACTTGAGGTGTTGTTGTTCTGTTTGAAGACAGAAATTCCCTGTGAAACAACAGCAACCATGTGAATGGTTTGGGGCTGGCTGCCAGATTTGCAGAGCTAGAGCTCTGGAAGTGCTCTTTACCTCCATGCAGCTGGATTTGACCTGGTGTGCAGGAGTTCTCATCAGGATCTTCCCAGAGGAAGCTTCTTGTGGGGCTGATTGTACCCCAAAAGTGTCACAAACTCACAAAAGATTGATGCAAGGAATGTCAGAGGTGTCTGTTCCAGCCTCTGCCTAAAGTAGGGCCATACAAAATTTACTCAAGCTCCTCAGGGTATTGCCTAGATTAATTCTGAATATCTCAGAAGCTGGAGGACCATTTCTTACCAGTCAGACATGGCTGTGGTTTCCCTCTGTGCACTGAGGGTTTGATATTATTCATGGATATTCTGCACAAACACACAGACTCTGCTTTTCTGTGTGGGGTAAGAGCCAAGCACTGGAAAGCTGGTGCATATTTTCCTGCCTGCTAACAATGTTTCCCTTTTCCTCTTTCCTGTTTGAGTAAATCTGGCCTGGCTCCTAAATCTCGTGGCCATTTCCGTCACCTACAATAATTTTTACATCCTGTCAAGTGAAAGTTGTGTAGGGAACACTTCAGACCTGCCAGCCTGTTCCTCAGGGCTGCTGAGCACTCCCAGCCCCATGGCCAGCCCTTCTCTAGCTGGAACAATACTGGAATTACTAGAATGATGTTGGAATGATAAGTGCTGCCTTGTGGAAAGCAGATCAAACAATAAAGACACCCCAGGCCCATCTCAGCACCTTCAGGACAGATGAAAGATCCCTGTCTCCTGCAGAATCACTGACAAACCCTGCATGACCAGCAGGCTCCAGGTGACATTTTGCTGTCCTTGGTCCCTGCTCTGCACAGGCAGTAGGGTTTCCAACAGGATGTCCTCTCCTGTTTGCTCCTGGGGAGTGGTTTATTGACTCTGCAGCTGCCATGGCCTGGAGAGAGGGCACTGAGCTTGTTCTACATTTCATGTGTAGGTCTCAGTTTTGTGTGCTTTGTGATTCTGGACCATGTGACCCTTATCCAGACTTGATTATGCTTTTTGTAGTCAGACACTCCTCATTAACGTTTCTTGCAGACGGGGAAATTGGGGCACAGACTGGTGCTTACATGGATTATCTCAAGCAGTTGCAGAGGCTTAAGGCCCCAGAAGTCTGTCTCAACACAAAAGCACAGCTTTCCTCTCTTCCCTCCCCTGGTTTAGGGCTATAAAAGTTTACGTCTGGTCCAATGGCAACCAAAGACATCCATGTACCATCCAGCAAGAGCCTGTGGAGCAGAGCTGAGTTCCTCCCTTCTCCTGCTCCTCACTCTTTGCAAGGACCAAGGTCTGCAGTGAACAGCCCAAGCTGGAGGATTTATTAGTTCCAGGTAGCAAATCACAGTATGAAAACAGGGAACAAGGCTCTTGGCACCTCTTAGAGCCTTGGTCTAGGTCAGATTAGGCTGACAGTCAGGAAAAGTCTCCATCCATTTGCAAACACCTCAGACCACCATTACTGCTGACATCTCTGACCTCCATCCTTGTCTGTGTTGCCCAGGCTTTAACCCAAACTGGAATGAGGAGTTTACATTTGACATAGAGATCCCTGCACTCGCCTTGGTCCGGTTTGTGGTGGAAGATTTTGACATGTCGACCAAGAATGACTTCATCGGGCAGTACACCCTTCCCTTCACGAGTCTGAAGCAAGGTGAGGCCCTGCTGCCTGCTCCTCACAGCCACTGAGCCCTCTGAGAAGCTCCAGGGTCCTGGATGAGTGGTCCAGATCCATCACAGTCAGAGTGGATTTTTGGGGTACCAAAACATTGTCTCTTGCCACCAGAGGCCTTGGGCACATTGTGTTACCTAAGCTCAGGGCTGTGCCTCTGGGGACCTGCCTGTTCAGGATCCTGTGGGAAACTGGGAACAAAATGCTCTGAGACAGGGAGATGTTTGTGCAGGGTCTTGGCAAACATTAGCAAATACTTTTCCAAATGGACTAAAGGCTGTTTTCCATCTGTGTCTCTGCTTCCAGGTTATCGCCACATCCATCTCCTGACCAAGAACGGAGACCCTTACTCCTCCTCCACCCTCTTTGTCTATGTCAATATCCAGGACTGTGATTAGCAGCCTGGCTCCTCCAGGCCACCGTGGGCCTCCTCACAGACCTGAAAGGAATTCAGTGTGTGAGCCCTGCCAGTGCCAGGGTCAGTCCCCAGCACCTCCCCTGGAGCAGCGCTCGGTGCTCCGTTAGGACTCCGATGTGAAACAGCCATCGACCTTCTCCCTGCTGCTGGAAACATCCTAATGCTGCTGTTGAGATTAATCCTTTTGTACCTGTTCAACCAATCCAGCTGTGGTTTTAGTTCACTTTATTTTTTTTTTTTTTTTAATGTTGCTTTTAGCGAGAGGATAGGGACTCCTTTTTTTAGTGAACTCTTGGGTTGGGCTTGGTCAGGCATCTGGGCAAAGCACCCAACATCTGTGCAAGGAAAAGTCTCCCTCAGCACTGCAATCAGTGGCCAGGTGCCAGGTGGCTTCTTGCAACTGCAGGTGTCAGCCATCCTTCACCACATGAAGTCCTAAACGGGGACACGATTCCCCTCCTTTCTGTTACAGATTAAAAAAGAAAGCTGCACTACAAAGCCCCGTGTTATGTAACCCGAGTTTCCTTTTGTGTTGCAATAAAAAATACATGAGCACTACTCTGCCTGTGTGCCTGGCTCTCAGCCAGGCCACTTTGCATTCAAAGCCTAGCTCTCATCCTTGTGGAGGAGAAAGAAGCTGCTGAACAGCAGATTTCCCTCTGCCCCAAAGTGAAACCCACTCAAAGGGACCTCAGAGAAGGTCTTTTGCCAAAGACAGTGGGAACATGCTCAACACCCAGCAGGGCTTTTTTTTTTTTTTTTTTTTTTAAAAAAAAAAACTTTTTTTTTTTTTTTACAGAAAAATGTCATTTTTTAACAGAGAGGAAGTAGATGTTTTAAGTGCTAGCAGGTCCCAGTTGCACTGGAGAAGTAACCCAGCATGAGAGTGTTTTAAGAACAACACAGTATTTATGGCAACGAGTGATTTGTCTTCTAGTAGAACTACAGAGTTAAGGGAATATTGTTGAAATAAAATAATATATATTTTGAAGTGCCAACTGTGTTGCTAACAGTATGTTAGGCTATTAAAAGTTTAAAACAAATTCTGGAAGCGTTCAATTACTTGTCGCTATTTGCCTCTTTGTCCTACTTGAATGCAACATGCATAAATTTGGAGATAAACCTGCTTGATTTCTTAAATTATCAGAATCCCTGGTGGTGAATATGAGGGGCTGATAGCAAAGATGTTAATGTCCTTTTAAACATACTTTGGTCATCTTATTTTTTTAGTCCAAAATAGCCTGGATGTAATGGTTCTTATGCCCACTGGAAAGCCGGGTTTCTTTTAACCATCCCTGGAGTTTGTTATGCTGCAGTAAACAATATTGTGTGATGTTGTAAACCATTGCCAGATTAAATGTGAATTAAACACACACCTCAAGGGCTGATACTGTATTAACAACCAGCCAGGTGGAAGAGCTCAAGAGTGGCCAGCGAGGCAGAGCAGGGGGCCCTGCAGTGGCACGAGCTCTCCCAGGTCACCTCTAGGATGGGGCACGTTGGTGAGACACATTTGAAAGGCCAAGGATGGAACGTGCTTGACTCCCACCCAGGGACAGCCTGAGTTTGGTCCCTGCTCCCTGTGTGCTCTCAGCACTTTGTTTTAGGGAGCCATGGCATGAAAAGCATAGGTGAAGGGGGTAAGAAGTGTTCCTGCCTCCTCACTTGTACCAACTCTTGTGGGGCAAGTTAGAAATTCTTCCCTGTGAGGGCAGTGAGGCACTGAAAGAGTTTTCCCAGAGAAACTGTGGATGCCCCATCACTGGGAATGTTCAAGGCCCCTTTGGTTGGGGCTCTGAGCAACCTGGGATAGTGGAAGGTGTCCCTGTCCATGGCAGGAGACTGGAACTGGATGATCTTTAAGGTCCCTCCCAGTGCAAGCCATTGTGTGATTCTGTTCCTCTGTGAGGTCAGATCAGCCCACTGGGTTGGCTGTGAACTTACTACTTGCATTTTTGGGTGGCATGATTAGATTTCAGTTGGATTATTGAGCTAAAGCCCTCACCTGCCTGCTGTGGTGAGAAGTGGGGGACCAGGTGGTCAGGGCTTGGATGGATTGCACAGAGAGGCCGAGTTTTCGTCTGCCTATTATGCCCTTAGAGGTAGGCAAGATCCATGGGAAGAAAAAAGATCCCTTATGAGGTAGGAACAGCTGGGGAAAGCTACTATAGCCAGGTGGAAAAGGAACTGAGATGGAGATGGGATGGGCAGAGCACGATGACAATGCTGCAAGATGTCTCTCCCCAAAGGAAGTGACGTGGTCCATGTTGTTATCAAGTGAGCAATTCATTAATCTGGGAGCTGGCAGCACACTCTTCAGTGAGGCAAGGCAAATATTGCTGATACCAGCAGTGCCAGCGGAGGTTGAAACGTGGGCAATGTGCACTGATTGCATCTCTTGTGAACACAAGAGGAGCAATCACAGGTAATTCAGCTGATTTGTGTCTCTCTTGATGCTTACTCTGCACAGGGGATTCCAGTGGGTCCTGGGCTGGACCCTCAAGCAGAGATGGGATGAAGTGGCAGTAGGAACAGGGACATAACAACGGGGTTGGGGGTTATTTTAACTACCAGTTCTTAAACACAAAGATCTATCCAGGAGACCCCATGACCTGGAGGTCCCTGCTCCAGCCCAGCCAGATGGTGACACTTCAGCACAATGATGAGTCCTGGATGTCGAGTGAGAGCTCTTTGTCAACAGCCTGGAGCTCCCAGCTCCATGCCTACATCCCTGCAGCAGGGCTGGGCAGTCAGGCCAGCTGCTGAAGTGCCAGGTACTGCTGCTCACTGCCAATGAGGGCTTCAGGAGCAGCGTCCATGGGCACTGGGGGACAAATGGCCTGAACTACATGGAGTTTGAGAACAGAAGGGACCCCACCTCCTCAGTTTGTTCTTTTCAAAAAATCCAAAATTCCATTGAGGACCAGGTGTTTGAAGGATCTGTGGCCCTGGAGAGCTTTTATCTGCTGTCATCCTACCGCCCATGCTGATCAAGGACACTTAGAGTGCTGCTGCTGGATGTTTATTTGGAATCACCGATCAGGTTGGAAATGGAGTAATGCTGCAAACCCATATTGTCTGAGTTTTAAGGCAGTGTTTCTACCTTTAGTTTACAGTTTTATCCCATAATCACTGGTTGCTTACATTTCCCACTGCCCTCCCCAGCCAGACTGATCCTACAGTGTGGAACCAGCACTCTCAGCCCCAAGGACATCACAGGGATGGAGCCCTGATAAAAGCTTCAGTAGGACACCCTCTGCCTCAGGTCATACCCAAAACCCTCCTGGCTTCCTCAAGCCTCTGGTCTGTGGGCAGGTGGACTCTGACATTCCCTGGCCACAGTCAGGGAGGCCAGGTGAGATTGCAGATGCTGTCTCAATGAGAAAAAAAGAGAAAAAAAAGTAGAGTCTTGTCTGGCAGTCAAAAATCAATACTTGTGTCTAGCCTTTAGTGTCATCATCCTCTGGAAACATCAGCTAATAAATATGCTCATAATAAGTGCTTTTTTCCCCCAAACCAGGTTCTCATGTCCTTTACCTGCCCTGGGCTATTCATGTTAATCTGGACCTGATTCTTGCTGGTTTTTGGTGAGTAGCTTTTCTACAAGGTGAGAAGGGGCAGAACTGTCTGGTGTCACTCCACAGACTACTTCATCAGGCATCTGGCTTGTTCCTGACCTCAAGGCTCCCCCTCCATCCTCTTAGAGCTTCCCCCTCCTCTCCCCACCCAGAATTCACACAGCAGCTGCAAATGGCCTTTGTCTTGACTAACTTTAAACTTCTACAAATGAAGGAAGATCATGGCCTCAGCATGTGGCAATTGGCAAAAGGGAGAGGAAAGATGAAGCTACAATGCAGTTGTTGTGTGGCTCACACTTGTCTTCATGGCTATCAGCAATAAAGTGTCAGGAAGAGGCAAAAACATCCTGTCAGGCTGTTCCTGAAAAAGGTTTTTCCTCCTGGGGTTCTGGGTTTGCAGGGAGAAAGGAGCCATGAACAGTGGCTGCTGGAATAACTGTTCTGGACTGGGGTGCCGGGTTGGGATCACTGAGGAAATGCCTGCATGTCTTTCCTGCAGCTCCTAAGGGAGCAGGGGCTGGTCCCAGAGTCATCAGATGCCCCATCAGATGTCTCAGAAGAGTCCAAATTGTTTCTTCTCATTCTGCTGCTTCCATTTGGGCATCTGGTAGAACTCGTCCTTGGACTTCCCAAAGATATCGTGGAAATCAGCATCAGAGAGATAGCACTGCAGTGAGGAGAGAGAAGGACAGGTCAGCTTTGGTTTCTGCAGAGCCTGGGACACCCCCACAGCTGCATCCCCTCCCCACCATGCCACTGCTGACCTCTGACTCCAGACCAACAGCTCCTGTTCAGCTCCCTGTCCTCGTGGTGGGAAATGCAACATCCCAGCCGACTGTTCCTCATCCCACTTCCCGAAGCACCAGGGGAATAAAAAACCCACCAGCCCAAAGAGGTGTTCCAGTTTTGAGGATTTAACATGCTCTGTCTGGAATTTACCTCCTGTTGATCATACTGTAGCCAGGACAATTTATGGTCCACCAGGGAAGCTCTGCTGGCCAGAGTTTTAGGCAGTGATTCACAGTGAAAGCCTCTCCCCCAGCTCAGTCCCCTCCCCTAAAATATTCACTGGAAATATTCACTCCCATTGCTGGAAAGACAGGGTTTGCAGAAAGAAGGAATGCTGACAAAGGCCCTGTGGGAATGGGAGGTTGAGCTTTTTCCTGGTATTTTGGGTAGAAGAACCCATGTAGAGCCCAGCTGTGGACCATGGCTCTGGCTGTGGGTGTTGGCCTTTGCCAGATCTGTTGGGCAAGACATTGGTCAAACAAGGATTACAGGGAATAGAGGAAATCAATCCTCTGTCCCCCCCCCCATCAGCTTGCTTGGATTCAGCTTCAGACACTGCCAAAATCCTTGGTCTGACTGGAAATCTAGCATGTGTAATTTTTTCTGAAATTGAAAATTGCTGAAATGCAAGCTTTCTGACAATTAAAAAAAAAAAAAAAAACAAAAAAAAAACCAAACCATTCCTTCTAGGAGGAGTTTCAAATGAAAACATTCACCTACAGCTTAAGTAAAATGCAAATTCTGGCTTAGTCCTCAGCTGTGTCACCTCCTGTCCCTCTGAGGACAGAAGTTGAATGGCAGAGCAAAACAATTCTACCAGAAGAAAGTATTTTTTAAAAATTACTACTTGAAATTATATTTTTCTGCCACAGAAACCCCATAATTACTTCAACTAGGCTAAAACCACCACAAGTTGTCCCTGTCCACAGCAGAGGGCTGGAACTAGACCATCTTTAAGGTCCCTTCCAACCCAACCATTCTAAGTTCCTATGAACTTCCTCACACAAAGCTCCTGCTTTTGGTGACACCTGTGTGTCTTGCCAGTGTCCCCCTGAGTCTGAGCAGGACTTGGTGGTCTGAAGTACACTTAGCCAGCTGCAGGTTAAGTTAGGAAGGGATCAAACCAGCAATGCTGTCACCTCTTTTTTAGTGGGATCCACGCCTTCGGGAAGTTCATCCACCGTCCTGTG